TAAAAACAAATCAGCAATGCAAAAATTCAAATACCACAATAGCTAAAAGCTATGGAATTGAACAGAACATTCTGAAAGAAAAAAATACAAATGGCTAATAATTTTTAAAGTGTTCAACATCCTGAGCCTTGAAGAGAGTTCAAATAATAACTACTGTGTGATTCCACCTCACCTCAGTAAGCATGGTCATTATGAAGTAAACAAATGACAGTAAATGAAGTCAAGAATATGAGGAAACAGAAAATTTTTACACTAGGATAGGAATGTAAACTGGTGCAGCCACTATGGAAATCAGTGTGGTGGTTTCTCACAAAGCTAAAAAGAGAACTTCTGATTGACCCAGCAAACACACTCCTGGTCATATACCCAAAAGACTCTCTATCCTAGAGATACTCAAACATTTATGTTCACAGTCTCTTTATTCACAATAATATGTTCATTCATCTCAAAAATTTCTAAAATTTTCAGCCACTCTTATTTTATAGACTATCTGGTCCTTATTTCCTATTTTCTTTTTGAATTTCCATGATTCGTGTTTACCTATTTTTTACTTCTTGTTAAACTGTAACTTCTTTTTCTGTTTGTTTCTCCTTCTGCCTTGGTAAACTTTTAATTAAAATATTTTTATTGAGTTTTTGTACATTTCATACAATAGTCCTCAATCAAATCTAAGCTCCCTCCCCCATACATGCCTCCACATAACACCTCTACACTGGACTGCATGCTTTTTGCCATACATGTTAAATCTTATCTGGTCAAACATCTACACCCAGATGTTCTTGGTTCAAGTTGATTTGCTAGAGTGTAGTCAGCCCACTCAGAGAACTTAAGGAAAATCTATTCTCCCTCACTCAATAGCAATCAGTTGCCAACATCTCCCAAGCTAGGGCCATCCCATGACGATATTCCTTGCATCACCCTGGGCCTTTGTGGATTGAGATGGCATGGTCCTGTGCACAAGGTCACCATTGCCTCAAGTTCACATGAGCAAACTTCTAGTAACCTGATGGTCTCTGTTTCCCCATACTCATGGACCTACCCTGATTCTTATGATCTTTCTGTCCCCTCTTCCTCAGTGGTCCCTGTGCCATTGGTGGGTGAGCATTAATACAGGAGTTGTATCTAGGGACACACACTCTGCAGATTCTTGAGACTGCCTTGATCATTTTAGATGGCCTGTAACACACGTTCTAGTTGTTCTTTTTGTTTAAGTCTGCTCTTGAATGCCTTGAGTGAATTTCTCAGCTTAGTTATGAATCCCACAATTCAATAATTTATTGTGGACTCACTTTACCATCCTATTTGTATTAATAGCATTAAACTATTGATTTTATTTGGATATCTTCACATGTTCTCTTTAAGTAAACTGAGAATCTGTAAAAATGTGGTCCATGTGTCCTCAGGATACATTGCTCAGTATTTGTTTCCTTGGTTTTATTGAGTGATGCTTCATCTTCCTTTTTACTTAATTTTTTAAAAAGTTATTGTGTGTGTTTGATGTGGGGGAAGGGTGGACATACAGAGGACAAAATACAGCTTTGTGGAGTTGGTTCTCTCCTTCCACCTTTGTGGGGGTTCCAGATGGAAAACAGGTTTTCCAGGCCTACATAGCAAGCAATATCTGCTGAATCATTGCAGCAGATCATGTAATTGTAAGTCTCTGTGTGCGTGTGTGTGTGTGTGTGTGTGTGTGTGTGTGTGTGCTGATATTGGGTATCTGCACTTTGAAAACTGTCACTTTCACACCTTCACTTATTGTCTTTACACAAAAGAATTTATCAGTCATGCCAGCTAGAAAGTATGGGTGAAATAAAATTCCTACTAAAATGTGCCTTGTCTGGGCTTTATGTACAATTTCTGTTGGTGTTTTTCTCTTTGTTTCTAATTCATGATTTCTGTCTCCCCCTGGGGGCATACTGTACTAATGCACTCTTATTTGGGATAGAAAAAGCAGCTGTATTCTCCTTTGGGTTCAGTGTCCATAGCCAGACAAACTGTACCAATTTCCAACAGAGTTTGAATTCACTGAAGATAAAGCAGTTCTTCCACAGTCCCCAAAGCCAAGATGGTGAGTATGTTCCACTCCTGTGTTTCTCTTGAAAGAGAAAATTTGGAAGTTGGGGTTTTCTTTCAACACAATCTCTAACTTCTAGCTCTGAAGATATTAACCTATGAAATCACCAGCAATACTATATATTCTTAGCTCTATATTAAGAATTTTCACAGATCCTATGTGTCCTAGATATTGCTGCTTAGACAATATCTTCATGGAGAAAAGAGGGCCTGAGAAATCTTGTTGACCAACTTGGTCTAAACAGCATAAAGTTTTTTCTCAAAAGTAACATTTTAGGGATATAGGCATTATATCTATGACATTAAATTAAATATTACTTCTTATGCATAGAAAGTCCAGAAAATTTAAGTACACATCAAAATTCAGTATCTGAAAATTCAGATACTCAAGAAAGAAAAAAATAGTGCAATACCCACAATCACACTGAAATTATCCATAGGGTTGAAAGGCAGGGCAGATATCAAACATCTAATAATGTATTAAGAGTGATATAACAGAACTAAAGTGACTAAGTGAGAAAATCACTAAGACAAATTTGAATGAAATTGTCCTTTTAAAATTAAAGAATAATTTTGATGATGGACTGGTAAAACTACTTGATGCCAAACCTGATAACCTGAGCACTACTCATGGAACCCATGGCTGTCATGGGGGTAAAGAATCAATACCTGCAAGTTGCCCTCTGACATCACATGCACACCAAGGCACATGTGCACTCACGCATATACACATATAAATAAGGAAGTAAAATGTAATTATTTGATAATATTGGCTACTGGAAACTTCTCACTGAACCCACTAGGATGCTTTTCTTCTTTACCTTCTTGATAACTGAAACAGAAAAGCCTCTGGCTATTGAAAATCATGCAGTAATAGGTTGAATTGGTGTCCCTAGCCCCTAAAATTCACATGGTGAAATCCATACCCCAACATGATATTTGAGAAAGGGAATTTGGGAAAGTAATTATATTATGAACCTGGGGCCCTCATGAATGTGATCAGTGCCTTTGAAAGTTGAAAACCTTCCCTGCTCTATGAGAAAATAAGGTGCGCACAGTGTAGAAACCATGAGAGAGGCCCCTCACAAGAACAGGCTATGATGACCTCAGACACCACATGTCCACCACCTTTGGGAGCAGTGTGAAATAAATTCTGTTGTTAAGATGCACAGTCGCATATACTTACCTATGGTGTCTAAAACTGACCATAGAACATCTCCAATTTTGCTGTCCCTGCACCTCTTCAAAGATAATAATATCTGTTTATGTACACCACTGAGCAGCTTAAAGCATAAAACTCATTAACAGGTTAAAAATGTGAATTCATTCCAATTTATTCTATAACATGTATAAGCTGTTGTTGGATCCCCAGAAAACATTCTTCTAAGAGTTGACCTCACTTTTCAGTGCTTCAATAAGGGCTAAGCATAAAACTTTTGGCTGATTTTTAGTCTTTTAACACAATATATGTGCTAAATATTTTTAATTTTTTGTTGCTTAGAAGAAGCATTTCATTACAGTTTTAACATAATACCAAATTCCAGCACAAAGATATATCTCTTTCAAAAGCAGCTATGAAATTTTTAGGCTCACAGATGAATTAATACAGTTATATAATATTGAACTCAGTATAAAAACTATAAGACATAAAATTGAATGAGTTTTTGACCTTTAAAAAAGACCTTCATTTCATTTTAAAATGTACTGTTTCTTACATAAAGACTCATTGTTTTTGCTAATAACACATGTTGGCTAAATATTTTTATTTATTTAGATGTTGCTAAATATTTTTATACAACAAAAATATACCTAAAAACCACTTACAAATTGGGAGACTAAATTCAAAATAGCTGGCATCTAAAGAGAACAATTTTAAGAACTAGAAGATCAATAATAGTAACCAAATCATGAATTGAGGAATTACTGAATTTAAAAAATACAAAAATTCAATCTTGCTTTAACTGCATTCTCACGGTCTGAATTCAAGATGATACAGCTGAAACACAAAATACAAACACAAAATAGAAAATAAAGAAAAGAGATCATATTAATTTGTTTCTATTCAGTTAATGCATTAAAATGATAGATGTTTCCAAACAGTGCAAATTCTGAGAGTAAGAGTTGTATGTTTGTTCTTTTCAATATTCTTAACTTTATTGACTTTAGTATGTACATACTTGCTCATATAATAAACTATGATTTAAGATGTTTTAGGTTAATATTTATTAAAAATTTTTGCAACTTCTTGCATTAGAATAAATCAGTTACTATTTCTCCAGCTTTGCTATTTATAATTACCAGAATTTTCACACTGTGAGCAAATTTTGGCCTGGGAGGGAGGGAAACAAGCCCTCATTCCTCTCTGGAGTTGCTAGTGGAAGAAGTATTTCTTCTCTCTTCTAGCCCACTGATTCTGAACTTATTTTGTAACTGTGACAAACTTCCATTTTCATTGTTGACAACATACACTCAACCCCCTATGGGCATTTATTTCTGTTTCTTTGAGCAAATTCTTAACATTTTCTCAGTTTTTAAGAGTTTTTTAATCTCTTGTTAATATGAGGATAATCTGCCTATTCCAAATACATAACCTTACTCACATACGAGGTGTCTTTGCAATGTAAAGAAATGTTCTCAAGCAGTCTCAAGTACTTTGAAGAGGACAGTTTTCTTATATCATTCACAAATGTGTCACAATGCTTGTGAGGTTAGAGACGCACAGATGCTCTTTAAGTAACAAATGCCCAGCTCAAGCAGGTTTTGAGATACATGACGTTGACTTGGGATTTTGAACTTGTAAACCCCATTCTAGAACTTTTAAATTAATTTTTTATCTAAACTAGAACACTGAACCTCTTACATATCATAATGAACATAATTGGAAATATGGATTCAGCTAAATATGCAAAATATTTCATGTAGTCTTTCTACATGCTATGATTATTCCCCCTGTAAAACTCATAATGATCTAGTTTCCATAAAAAGTTCCAAAAAGCAGCTTTGATTTCCTTATTCCTCAGGCTGTATATTATAGGATTCATAGATGGAGGCATCACAGAATAGAAAACAGATATCAAAAAGTCCAAAAGCTGTGGGGAATCAGGGACTGGTTTCAAATAGGCAGTGACAGCAGTGACTAAAAATGTGGTGATGACTATGAGATGGGGCATGCAGGTAGAGAAGACTTTTGACCTGCCTTGTGACAAGGGCATTCTCAGAACTGTGTTGAAAATGTAAACATATGAAAACACTATGGACACTAAGCAGAAAAACCCATATATGATTCCTAAGATGAGACTAAAGTCAACAGTGGCATGCATATTTGAGCAAGAAATCTTCAGTAGAGAGGGGACATCACAGAAGAACTGTGGCACTATTCTGGTATCACAAAAAGATAAAGAAAATGTGCCATATGAATATAAGACACCAAAGAGACTTCCAACTAGCCATGAAGCAGCTACTGTCTCCACACAGACTGCCCTGTTCATGATGGCATCATAGTGCAGTGGGCAACAGATGGCCACATAGCGGTCATAGGACATGACTGTGAGGAGGAAAAGCTCAGATGTGCCAAAGGAAAGCACAAACAAGACCTGACACACACATCCTAGGAAAGAGATAGTGCTCCTGTGGGACAAAGAGTTGAGAATGAGCTTTGGGACTGTGACTGAAATGAGGCACACATCGAAGACAGACAAGTTCTTTAGGAAGAAGTACATGGGGGTGTGAAGACAATGGTCCACAGTGACAAGCATGATGATGATTAGGTTCCCCGTGAGGAACTCCAAGTAAATTAGCAGAAACAGAAAGCCCTGTAACACCTGCAGCTGCTTGCTGTCGGTGAATTCCATGAGGAAGAAATCTGTGTCCATCGTGTGGTTGGTCATGCTGTCTGCTGTTTACCTACTATGAGACAATGAAAGGAAAAAACAAATGAGGAGCTCATACTGAGATTTAATCTTAGTAAGTATGCATTTTATTTTGTATAAGATGCAGCTACTACATTTTTCCTAAAAATATGAATATCTTTACTCTCTTTTTAGCGTTAAAATTTTATTGATCTTTTCATATACACATATAAGGTGTTTTGATCAAATCCACTCCCACTCTCTCCCCTTAAACTCCTCCTGTATCTCCTCTTCACTTTTTCTTGACAACTTCGTGTACTATCTTTTTTTTGCTTTTTTTTTAATGGGGCTTTTTGCTAATATAACATTCCCCCCCCTCTGAATAGGTAACCCTAAAATCTTTCAGGGATAGATAAGAGCTCTGAAATACTTTTGACATTTCTGGCCTTTGGAAGAGAGTATGCTCCTAAGAGTCCCAAGACATTTTATCTTTCAGGCAAGAAAATGGCTACCTTTCTTTGGAGTCTTTTTATCCTGACTGCCTAGCCAATTCCTACCTCCTATTCTTATCACATCCTCAGCACATCAAAACACAGAGTCCACCAGGCACCTGATGGTGTATTGATCATCCCATGTGAAGACTATAACAAGTGGATATTTCTGATATTCAGCAGGAATATAGTGTGAGATGGAGTGAAGGATTTACTTCTTTAAATGGCTCGAACTCAGCAGGGGGCACAGTGGTATGAATGGATAGGACCCGCCCTGGCAGTGCCATAACTTGAGAGCTGTTTTCCCCCTGTAGACTCTGCAGGAAGCCTTGTTCATACTGCATTCTTCATCATGCTCTCACTGAGCTTGTTTGGTGAAAAATATTTCTTCCTTTAGATATTAAGGTTTGTGGTGTGTTAAAATCCAAATACTCTTTGGAAAGGACTTATTTTTCCAATATGTCCTCCAAAGGCTTATCAATGATAAGTTTTATAAATCCTAAAAGCTAAATACAATTGGGGACTGGAGAGATGGCTCAGTGGGCTGAGCATTGGCTGCATTTGCAGAGGACTTGGATTTATTCCCAACACCCACAAGACAGCACACAAGACAGCTAACAATCTTCCCAAACTCCAGATCTAGGTTATCCAATACCCTCTTCAGAACTTTGTGGAATGACAGTCATGTGGTGCACTTATACATGTACTCATATACATAAAATAAAAATAAAGAAAAGTTTAAAACAAGAAATAAATACAATTTAAATGGGGAGTCATGATAGTATGTGGTATACCTATATACTGTATATGTATGTGCACATATATTATATCATGAAATCAGGCAGTAATAGTAAGGAGTGAACATAGTAGAATAAGGAGGTGTCTAAATATGATAAAGCTATATTGTATAAAATTTGCAAAAATTCAATAAAATACTTAAAATTTTAGGAAGTATTTTTCTATAACACTGTGATTAATGTTTTTCAACTTTATGTGTTTGCTATTACTCACTAGTTTTACTTCATTTCTTTCTTTTTTCTTTTTTTCTTTTTTTAATATTCTACTTGTTATTTTTATTTTATGTGTATGAATATACTGCCTATGTGCATGTGAGTACACCCATGTCGTGCAATACAATAGAGGTCAGAAGAAAGCTTCAGATTCCCCTGGAACTGGAGTTAAGGATGATTCGTAGCTGCCATGTGGGTGCTGGGAATCAAACCCGGGTCCTCTGCAAGAGCATTCAGTGCTCTTAACTGCTCAGCCATCTCTCCAGCCACTAATTTTACTTCTTAAGTGAATAGTTTTGATTCCGTTACTCAAAAAAAAACTCACTTCCATCATTCAGATACCCTTACATCTTAATGCTCATAAGAACACTGACCTAATTGCATACTTGTAGATGCCATTCTCCTGAGTAACTTGGGTACTGTGCTCCTGCCCTGTTTGTACCCCACAACAATCAGCTTAGTACTGTTATTGTTGTCATATAATATATGTTGAACTAAATTCAGAAGTCTTAAAAATTATTCATCTGAACATTCATGAACAAAGAGAGAAGATGCCTTTCAGTTATCTGTATTTGCCCTCAGTATCTTTATTGTTCTATGTGAAAGATGGGTAATGATTCATTGTTGATTTTTAATCTAAATTTTACTGCTGTGAGTGTTAGATGACCTGTTATTTTCTTTGTTTGAAATCTCAAATCTCAGATGATTTGTTCCTGTCCATGGCAAAAATGACCATTTGACAATCACACTACAGGGTAATGGATTAGAATCATGATTAACAACAGTGACTTTGAACTCTTCCAGTGTGGCTTTCAGAACTCACCTGGAAAAGAGAGGTGTGAAGATCTCCCAAGAGAAGGATATAAGAAATTTTTCTCTGCTGGGGGAAAATGATCAACAGTCCTATCCAGCTGAGAACCCTGTGAACTACTGACCACAGTGCAAGATATGGCATTGATGAAATAGCAGCCCAAGTGTTATGGGAATAACCAGCTACTTTCCAAATAGATTGAAGGCCTATACCACTTGTGGGAACACATACCTGGTTCTGTAAATATGGCCAAGAACCCATGGTTGGGGAGGTCACAGTGGTGGACTTACTACTATTTTTCTGCTAAATACACTTTGCTAACGTAACGTTAAACTCTCTAAACTTGTGTCTTTCTTCCATTTTTGATATTTTTGTGACAGAGACTTTCTCTAGCACCAGCTGGCCTTGAACTCACTATTTAGAACAAGCTAACCTCAGTCTCACAGAGATCTGCCTATATCTGCCTTCTAAGTGCCAGGATTAAAGGTGAGCACCACCAAACCTGGCATATTTGCATCTTTCTACCCATAGATTAGTAAAGCTCTTGGATCTCATCAGAGAAGTTTCTTCGTTCAAGGGACAGTGATTAATGCAGAAATTCACAACTCAGTGTAGAGAATAAGTTTCAGTGGAGTGTTCAGCCACAAATGGGAAATCTATACCACTTCCACTCTCCAAGCATGTGTTTGGCTGCACAAAATTAAATTTGTCAGCATTCCAGCATGGAGTGGGAAGAGGTTCATGAACCCCTACCCCTAACTGAGGTGCTATGGATAGTTGATGGTGTCTGAAGAAAAGAGAATAAGATTTTTAGGGTTGTGGCTTCTGGTAGCTAAACGCTGCTCCAGTGAAAGATCACAAAGTTTTGACAGCACAAATAGAAGTCTATAGATTCTTTTTTTTTAAATAGGACATGAAGAAGTTGTTGGGATGCAGATTGAAGTGGAGCTGGGAGCAGTTAGGTACAAGAGTTAGGCGTGAAAGTGATGCAAATACAGTGCATGGAATCTCAAATAATTAAAAATTAAAACAAGATAAATGTTTCTTTAAATATAAATGTTGATTAATAGTATTTGATCATTTCTCATTGCATAATTTCATAAAATATCACACTGTACTCTGTATATCTGAAATATACTATGTAATTTTAATTTTTAAATCTGGAATTCAGGTGAACACTTCAACAGAAATTTGAATTTTGCATAATCAGGTCCTGCTTGACAGCTCTTACATATAAGTTAGACTTCTCTTCATTTACCTGGTTGTATACCACCCTCTCCACTTCCATTATAAAATCTTATGAAGCCCCAGCATTCAGACTTACCTTACAGGATTCAAAACATCATTTTTTTTTCTTTTACGCCTCAACCCTCTATTACCCATGGTGTGTGAGAGAAACTAGGTTACTTTGATTTTATCTAAAGTGTTCATATTTTTAATGAGGCAAAAGCAATTTTCAGTGGTTACGTTTCACACACCCCCAAGGGAAGAAATGAATTGCAGAAGAAACACAATTGTCATGGGGCCTTGACTGCAGTCCTTCATGAAGAATGATTCACCCAGGATATTAGCAGTGTGTATCATTGCCTCACACCTCACTCCTCACACTCTGCACTCATGCTCTGGCTCTTCCTGGAATATGTCACTGAATGTCCTACCTGGCCTCCTGACCAGAGACACATCAGATAGTTTCCAGTGTACTTGGCCTGCTGTCCTATTTCAATTAAAGAAAACACTGACCTGTCTAAACTCTAGGCTAAAGCTTGGAATCACATGTGCTTTCTGGGTGTCAATGAATTTAGAGCTGATAATTTTTGTCTTCTATCCATACAGTGTCTTCTATCCATACAGTATTCATTACTGCACTTCCTCTGAGGTTAGAAAAACTGCATGCACTGTGATCTCAAGCATCTTTCAAGATTAAGACGTATCTAAAGTAACACAGAATTCTTACTTTTCCTTATACAATATACCCAAAAATTTACACATAAGTATATGTATAACAGTTATAATTACAAAAATTATCATTGAAGTTTTCTTGGTATAGTATCATAAAATATTACATATCCATCATCATAACAGCAGCTCTCCAAGGCATACTGAATTCTAACAATGGATTTTATTCACAAATTTAAATAGAAAATGCAAATTAAATTCATATATAACATATAATGCATTTCAAGAATATATTTTTCAGTGAAATAGAAGAGTCACCACCCCTACAATAGCCCATTCTAGTTCCCTGGTTCTCACAAGCTCTTCAAGTTAAAAACACTAAACTAAAGAAATTAAACGCTAGAATCCACATTTGAAGAAGAGCATATGACTTTGTCCTTCTAGGTCTGGTTTCTCTCACTCAGTATATGTTTTTGTCAGTGCTACTTTCTTGTAAATTCCATGATTTCATTTTTCTTTAGAGCTCAGCAAAATTCCACTGAGTATATGTATCACATTTTAATGATGCGTTCATCAGTTGATGCACATATAGGCTAATTCTATTCTGCACTGGTGAATACAGCAGCACTGAACATGGTTGCAAAGGTATCATCACAGAAGGTTATAGAACCTTTTAGGTATATATACAAGGGTAGTGTAGCTGGGTCATAAGGCAGTTGTTTCTCTAGATTTTTGGGAAACCTCCAGATTGATTACAAAGTGACCACACTACTTTATGTTTCCACTGTGGGATATCAAAAGACTCCATAAGATTAAGTGTTCGAAAAACAA